GGGGGGGCAGCCATAAGAATACTTAAATTTCTTTCACTATGTCCTTTTAAGTTATAGAAGAAAGTACACAGTATGTATTCCGACGGATAACAAAAAGCCAATTCAATGTAATGAAATATTCAAAGTACATATTACAATGAAGACATGTGGAATTGAGCAGTAACTGAGGAATGTATGGCACAGAAAAGCGCCTTACAAACACATAGGCATAAAAATAAACCACCCAGAGAAAATGGACCTCTCTTTCCTTCTTCGCAGTAACTCCTATCTTTTTTAGAATATATGATAGGAGCTAAAATATTCTTATTCATTCTTAATCACGAGGTAATAAAAACCAAACTTATGCCCATAATTGAGTTAAAATACATCTAGGAAGAGAACTGAGGGCAAGGTTCAATTCCTACAGCAGTTGGCCACATTCTTGAATTAAAGATAAAATAGAATCTATTTCCTATAGATGTATTGCACCATGCCAATAGAACGATTCACATTAAATACATATTCAGTACATCATAGTGCAAAAGAAGAGATTGAGAGATTACTTCAGTGCTCTAAACAAGTTATGAGGAGTCAGAAATAATTGTAGCGTTAGACTGTGATTAGTACATGCTGAGTATTCTGCTAAATAAAATAAAATAAAATAAAATAAATAAATAGGTAAATAAATAAACATCGCAGGTATAAAAAGTTGACTTTGGTTACAAAAATAATTACAAACAACACAAATCATCACATAATTCATCCAATATTGAAATAAATGTATGACATATACATGTCTGACTGCAAATATTCATGTTTTAGCTGATGCATTTTATCATGTTAAGCCAAGCCTTTGAGATAGTAAATGCTCCCAAGCCAGATAAAACTATTGAAGCAACACCATCAATTAGCCCGGACCTACACAAAATGCTGATTGTTCAAATATCATGGTACGCTTGATAGTACACAATAAGTCTTCAATTCCATTACCGAAATTTCCCATAAACTCCCCCAATGTTATTGCTGAATATGAAGCACATCCAAAGTGGTTCACGACTACATAGAGTTGAAATTTTGGCATAGGGTGAAGGCATATAAAAATCAAACAGAAGAAGAATTGCGCACCCAGTTTGAGGATGTGATTACAAAATTTTCCTTTCTGATGTGGTTGTATTACCAACACAATGTACGTGGGAGTTCAAACACAATGAATGCAAGCGCCTAACTTTTCAGATATACTCTAAATTACGTTATGGAATTCTTCACCTGAGTTATTTTTAACTGCCTCCATCTTTATGTATTACAGAACTTCATTTCTCTCGTGCAGCTGATTTAATAACATTGTGTACAGCACGCTCGATCATCAGCACAGTTGACAAAGCATAGTTTGCAGGTGTGGCCACTTGGTGGTATAATTTGTGAAACAATCTAAAATAGGAGACTTCAGAATTAAACTTGCCGAAAACCAGAGAGAATCACGAGTGCTGTTTTTTAGACGCTATAGCTACTTAGAGATAAGTTGTACATTCACATCTACACTGGTTGTTAAATATCCTGCTTAACACTCTAAAAAATTCTGATTGAATATCCTATTGCCATCAGCAATGTGAAAACACTAATTGCTTTGTTAAACCACTTCTTCCAGCCAGAAGGTATAAATAATATCACTTTAGAGAATTACATAAAGTCCAATGAAGTAAATAAAATCTCTGATGTAACTGGAAGCTTGGTGAGAACATTAACCAAGAGGGAGAAAAAACCCAACTGTTCTTAAGCTTTCAGCTTTCCTTCTTCTTCCAAAAACTCTTGAGTCTTTTATATACTTCAGATGAGATTTCTACTGGTGATTTGTCTTTGTAGTATCTCATCAGTTAGAAACTTACTACACATCCAACACTTTTCATTCTTCTTTAGCACCACACTATATTTAATATTTAAAGCTAAGATACTTATAATTAGTAAGTACTGTGCTCAAGTTCTTTGGTTTGGTTTTAAACTTTGCTCCCCATAAAAGTACGATTCACGTATCATAAGTTGAACCATCATTTATCACAGGATGGAAACGACGACACCTAGTGTGGGTATCATAAATAAAAGTGAGTAGAACATTTAAAACCATTATGAAAAATGTGATATGGTTTTGGAAATTACCTTGCATTATTTTCGGAGGGTTTATTAGGCAGATCGCTGAGAGGAGGTGGATATGGTTGCGGTGCTCCGCTTGCAGGAGCATTTTCTCCAGATGAATCAGAAGAATCTGATGAATATTGATGGCCAGGGAAGGGGCCTAGAAGATGGCTTGGAATGCCATGTGACTCGCGGTTGCCGGTATTTGTAGTACTTAAGGGAACACTAACCCTGTTTGAAAACAAAACACAACAAAACACATATAAATCTCACACCTATGTAAGATGGATAACAATCTAGTAAGATAACGTCATGGATGGTTCAAACTGAAAAAGGGAAGAGCTGGTTAGGACACAAACGTTGAGTATAGTCTGGATGTGTGTGCTCAGTTACCTTATCTCGACTGATTACAGCTCACATTTTGGCAAAACTTAATAGCATTATTCCAAAATGAACATTAAGTTCATTGTAAAAGCAAGGCAGTCTGTCACAGAGACACTTGCTGTCTTGGAAAACTAGTTTGGTACAACTGTTCATGAATTTTGCTATCTTTATCATTAATAAAGAATAGCTTTTCTGCTAAAATGTAATGGCAGACTACTTTATGCATCAGTCTTTGAATCAGACGTAGCATTAAGTAGATGTGAGCTTTATACAGAGACTTCAAGTGTTTTTTTAAGAATTATAGTTGTCTATTCTGTACAAACACATGCAGAGTAAAAGTCACTATCAAATTGTTCATGAAGTATCTTCACCATATCACTTTTTTAAATTGTTTAATACAAAAAAGTAAATTGTAAATGTATGAAAAAAAGATATTAGAAATAAATAAAAAAAAAAAAAAAAAAAGTATAAAGACTCATTTAAAGCCGTACAAAAGTGGTTTTTTTTTCCAACCTTGACATTGCACTGAAATTAGATACTGGGTGGTATGTCAAGCCAGTGAAGAGACTCCAATTTCAGAAATGAGGTCACAGCAAATCATCTTTCTTCCCCATATTAGTACAGAAACAAACATCGAAAGCTAGAAGACAGCTACTTTACGAAAAAGGGAGGGACATAAAGCTCACAATTGTAAGACAAACTCACAAAACTGTAAGACTCACAAATGTGGATGAAAAACTTGCAAGGTAGAAAAGATGGAGTAGGGAACCAGGACTCAAAATACAGCAGCCCTAGAAACAATGTCCACGAGTGGCATATGGTTTGGTAAGCTGGAGAGATTACCGATGGAACTCTACAATCTATGTTTGCAATTAAGCTACGGAAAACTCTCACAGTCCTGGAGAGAAAATAAAGAGCCCTATGGATTTCAAACACAAAATGAGGTATTGGTTTTGGACACTTTTATAATTTTCTATGCAGTAGGCACCATTTCACACCATTACATCATTCTAATGTGTGTTTAGATAGCAGAATGCATCAAGCAAATATGGCCACTGTGAATAAAATGCAAATGAACTATTCACGAGCACAACTAGAATAAATAGAAAACAAGCTCTGGTGAGTGAAATGGCAAGCAGAATTCTTCTAAATGAAATCATGATGAAATCAATTGGGAGTCATCAACAGTTCCTACAGCTTTACGGCAAGCAGTATCTTCCAACAATGTTCTAGAAAAAGCTATCAGTAAATCATAGAGTGAATCTTAATACGCAAGAAGCGCGATGAAAAACTTGAAAACTTTTAGATTAGATATCATGAGAAAGATTAATGTATAAAAATATTTCTTGTACTTTTCAATTATTGAATAATTAAATGACTAATTCCTTAAAAAAGTAAAAATATATATACATAAATATATATATATATTTGTTCTTTTTGTTTTCTGTTTTTCTTTTTTTTAAACGAAATTTGTAATTTCACACATACCTTTGCCTCTGTTGCTGAGTGGCAGACGGGGACGTGGTCTGAACTGATGCACCCATAACTTCTGAGACAGGCCTCTGACGATGCCTATGAGGTCGACTGAACTGTAAATTGAGCTGTGACTGGTCAGTCACATATTTCTCAGCACGTTCGCGTCTTTTACGTAAACCGGGTGTGCACCCTGTCAAAGCTTGCTCATCTTCGGCTGATGAGTTGTTATTTGAAGATCTTGCATCAGGAACTGTCTGACAACGTCGTAAGGGGGCAGACATGGAAGCATGTGATGGGTCATGAAGTTGGTCTGGATCATTGGGTGCTTCATCAGTGGCTCCTGTCCCAATGATAAGTTGGCTCAATCGTCGAGTAACTCGATCTTCATCTCCATACCTGCGATGAGATGTGTCATGTGGTGTTAAGCAAATGCTAAAGTGCTACACATTAAGTTGTTAGAAGCAATCAAAACCTTGACCTCCAACTTTATTTAAGAATATGGTATCCAATTAATATGCCTCATTAAAAGCAGACAAAATATACAGTCTAATGGTAATAACATTGAGCTAAGCTGTAAGCTTCCATCTGCAATGTACCCTTTAGTTCAAACATAGGGAACTAAATTAATGTAAAATAATTTTTCATGTATCAACTCCTGAATAAGTTACAGGTAATTGAATTGAAGATGTAACAAAAAGGTTAATACCCACTACAGCTTTTCATATGTGAAAGGAAAGGACAGATTGCAGATACATAGTTAGTCTGATAGGAATAGGTAAAGGGAAAGTGAAACACAATTACAAACTTACCAACTTTGATCACCCAGGACAAGGGAGGTCCTTGGGCTCCTACTGACAGGAACAGGTATTTTACTTCCTTTGACTGCAGCTGCCATGCTACTACTACTGCTGGCACTTCCACCGCCAGTTATACTTGAGTGACTGGAATGTCGCCTAACAACTCGTCCAGGGGGTAGATGCTGCCCTTCCGTACCCATTGATGGAGGGCATGTTTCCACCACAGGTGGTAAGTTCTGGGTGGCTCTCCTCATAACAGGGGCAGATGATCCTGTGGTTGCACTATCACTAGAGCTCGCCTGTAAACATACAACAAGAATTTTATCATGTAAAAATTTTGGTGGCCTAACCATATTTCAATAAAACTCATAATTACAAACCTGGTTAGCTGTATCAGGTGATCCACGTACATTGTTGTTCACATGTGTTGTGAGAGACCGAGGTTTGCCATCCCCCCCAGCATGTTCTTCCGCAGCATCAAAGTATATAGAAGGATCGTCAAGTCCAGCTCCTGGACTAACAGGGCTTCCACCACCATTAGCAAGACCTCGAACCACTGTAACATTATATAGAACACATTTTTCAACAATATCCTGTGTGAAATTTTTCTATCTAAGTCTTCAGCATTTAGAAGTTTAATTAAAAGAAAAGGCTTTGTAGACCTTTGAGCAGTTATATATTTTTTCATACCTCTAACACCATCCGGTAAAGGTGGTTGTGGTCTGATGACATGAGGTTGGGATACCTGAGCTGGTGCTGAAGACGGTCGGAGTCCTATGCTTGGACTAGCACTGCTGGCCCGACCAGGTATCGTTCCAATGCCTCCATTGACTAACTGATCACTTGCACTTAATGGCCTATCACTTGCACCCCTGTCTACAACACGTATTTCTAATCTTCCTGCTACAGGCTCAAGTCTTTTCTCTACCTCATCATAATCTTCCTCGTCATCCTCATCTCCTTCCTCCTCATCTTCCTCCTCCTCCTCCTCCTCCTCTTCCTCTTCTACAACTTCCTCTTCATTATCAGGCAAATCTTCTGACTTCTTCTGCAATAAGAAATTCCAGTAGGGGTTAAGAAGGACTTTTGAAACCTACGAGGTGGTTTGTTAAAGAAAAATCAGATAATGCTTACCGATTGGCTTTCCTGAACAGGAGGTTTTCCCGCATTTAATAAAGTCTGCTGGGGTGCTACTGGCATATTGTTGTTGCCACTACTGCTGTGAGGAATTGCAGCAGATATTTCATCTACACCTGGAGCTGGCTTTGCTGGTTCACTTTGATCCAATGAATTCAGAGACAATATCTGAAAAGAATAATTAAAAAGTATGTAAAAACAATGACTTAAGAACCGACGAACCAGAGAAAAAAAGACATTTGCATCCCTAGACAAGAATGAGCGCTTTTTTTAGTATTATCCTCACATATCCTTCATAAAGAAGACTATCCAGATATATTTATCATACAAATAAGGCAAATGAGCTAATGTAGACCAGTTCCTCAAGCTCAAAAGTGCAATGTGCTGAGTGTGCCACTGTCAATTTTGCACATCAGCACTGTCAGCAGCAAACCCACTCACAATCACAAAAGCCACACATTCAGTACTATAAAAAATAAAATAAACATAAATTTCAAGTATAGAAAATAGTATTACAAATGCTCCAACTCTAGAAAAGATAATACAAAATTTAAAGTCTACTCTACAAATTTTGAACCTACAGGTAGACTTGGCCTGCGTATTGCCTCCTTGTCTTGTGCTTCTTTTTCATCTTGGGTATGACGAGTTGCCATATTGCGCATTATGTCTACTTCATAAACAAGTTCATCAAAGGCAGCCTGCTGTAGCAATGGAGGTTCCAAACCAGGTCTAAAAGAAAAGGCACGTAGAGTGACAGTTTAGAGAGAGTGAAGTTCTGTGATAGGGGTCAGTAGCTAAATTTGCTTCTAATAAGTACCTGATAACTTCAGTTAATTGTGGTAAGCTCCAGGCTCGAGGCAGAGCACCCTGAAGTTCCTTAAAATTTTCAATGCCTGCAATGTTTAAGCAACGAGGTGATCCTGCACGAGCAGTATGGGGAGCATCAGCTGCTGCTACTTGAGGCTTTGAAGAATTCTCATTGATGCCTGATGTTACAGTTGCAAGGTGCGTTTCCTGACAACGATGATAGAATGTAAGTCAAGTTAAAAGTAAACTTTTCAAAACTAGCTGACGGCATTGGCATTTTACCTTTAAAATCCCCTTTAAGAATGTCCCAATAAATAGAAGAAAAAAAAGCTAACTGAAATTTGAATGCAAAGAAAACTGAAGCAAGTATGCATAAAGAAAATGAAGGACTTAATGGTATCGGACAGATCACAAAACTTCAAAGGTAGAAGACAGTTGAGGTGTAAAGCAAAAGCAGCAAAAGTGGTCAAGCAGACAAAAAGCAGAAAAATGAACAGTAACAGATTGCCTGCAGCATAATTTAAAGCACTTCTACACCACACATAGTGCTTTCATTGCAGGCAGCATGTCAAAAATTGCACTCTAAACTTAGTACTAATATCACTAATAGAAATGTTCAATATATCAATTTTAGAGATAGGTTCCCAAATTTCCCCACCTTGGCTTATAGTCACATTTAAACACATGTCTACAAGCACTAGTGCTTTGTACTACTCCAGGACCTTATTTTAAA